CCCACATCTCCATCCTGGGACCCAATGGGGACGCCATCGCTGTCACCTCCACCATCAACTCTTAGTGAGGGGGGATGATGAGGGATAATGGGCACATCCATCATCAACTCTTAGTGAGGGGATGATGGGGCGCCTCCATCATCAACTCTTAGTGAGGGGATGAGGGGGGATGATGTTTCTTATGCTGGATATTAACATTATGATGTAGGATATTCACATCATGATGCAGGATACTCACATCATGATGCAGGATACTCACATCATGATGCAGGATACTCACATAATGATGTAGGATACTCACATCATGATGCAGGATATTCACATCATGATGCAGGATAACAACATCCTGATGTTGCCACATCCCCAGCTTCGGGGCAGTGATGATGGCCTCCGCCGGCATCATCTACAACAACGAGATGGACGACTTCTCCTCCCCCAACATCACCAACGACTTCGGCCTGCCGCCATCACCTGCTAACTTCATCGTACCTGGTGGGGCCGCAGCCTATATCTTATATAATACATTTCGTAGATTATTATAACATGTATTTTTGTATATATAATGCTGTATTCTTCATACGTATATTCTTATAACGTATATTCTTATAACATATATTTTTACATATATAAGGCTATATTCCTATAACATATATTTTTACATATATAAGGCTATATTCCTATAACATATATTTTTACATATATAAGGCTATATTCCTATAACATATATTTTTACATATATAAGGCTATATTCTTATAACGCATATTCTTATAACATATATTTTTACATATATAAGGCTATATTCCTATTACATACATTTTTATATATATAATGCTATATTCATAAAACATATATCTTTACATATTTAAGGCTATATTCTAATAACATATATTTTTACATATATAAGGCTATATTCCTATAACATATATTTTTACATATATAAGGCTATATTCTTATAACGCATATTCTTATAACATATATTTTTACATATGTATAAAATTGATACGAAACTGTTTGTAAGGTCCACATTTTGTTGAGTATCTATGTAGTATTCTGCGTCATTCACACACACGTTCATTCATAATGTGACTCAGACGTTCATCCTAATTCATCATTGTGAGTCTCAAGTTTATTTTCATTCATTTTTCGTGAACTAAACCCACATTTTTATTTACTATAGAGGAAGCGACGTTTATCCTCATTCATCATAGTGAATTTGTTCCCGTCTTACAAAACTTCTCTTTACATTCACTTCTTGTTGTTTGTATGTTTGTCTGTCTGTCTGTCTGTCTGCTACAAATCTTATAATCAATATTTAACACACTTCTACCTGTCCAATTGATCAGAAATTTTCCACACTTGCGTAAATTTGGAGACAATGTATGAATCAATTGCCAGAATAAATAATTTAAAAAATATAACAAAAAAATATTGAAAAATACTTTTTTTGAAAATTCAGAAATAAATTAAGAAATTAATTGTACATTCGTAACATCGGAGACACTGGCCTCTTAAGAAGTGTTGTCTTTAAAAAGTAATTTTTAAAAGGATATTATTTTCTCTACAGGCAAGCGGCCAATGTCTTCGATGTGCCCAGCGATAGTGACAGATGGTGCAGGGATGGTGACAGATGGTGCAGG